ATAAATAAATTAATTAATTCTGATATGAATATACAATTTTTAGTCTATATTTTAAATCAAGAATCAATAAATGCAATACAATGTGTATGATAGAGATTAATTATTATTAAATAATAGGCTATGAATGTACCCTGACCTAAAAGATCTATTGTGCGCCTAAAGGCCCAACTAAGACAATTCTAGACTATTTATAAATCTTGTAATTGCTGTGGGCATAATTTTACCTATTTGATTTGGGACTAAAATCCCAATTCCAAGGTACGTCTTGCCGCCACTGGGCAATTGCATAAAATATGTTTTCCTCATGACAGAGTAGACAGGAGTGACTATCTACCGCACCTATAATCTTCTTGTAATAATTAAGTCTACAGTGTCCTGTAAGAAGTTCAATGTAGATTTTAATGTCGTTTCTGCTAAGACCAAGGATAGCATCAACTTTGATGTGTTCAGGATCAATGAATTTTTTTGAATGTCACATACCTGTTTGGGCTCTCCAATGTTCAAATAGATGTTGTTTCTCCCGTTCACATAATAAGTTATTTGTGAAGCTATTTGTTATACCGCAGAAGGGCTCTGGATCAATGAAAGGAGTACAGGGGAGTACATTACATTAAGTACATTAAGTAAAATATAATAAAATAACCGAGAGGAATTGAGATTTTACATTGAGTTTTAAACACAACTGTTAGTCAATCATCAAATAATCGTTTTCAATAAGGCAATGCATTACATAAAAGTGATGGATCTTTTTTTCTTGTTTCTCCAGTAGATTTAAATAATTTTTTCCTCAATCATTGGAAAAACTTGGCTAATAGAAGAGACGAAGAATATGAAGGTGTACCGATATAAGAAATTAGTTAAGGATATTTGTTTTTAAATTGATAAGGATGAAAATGTAGATTATAAAGATAATGAGTTCAGACAAAACATTGTATGTTGTTTCATATTATACACAATTTTATTGCATAAAAAAAAATTGGTCAAATATCTAAAATTGTAGTTTATAAAAAGGAGCTTGCAAGCCTTGTTTTAAATTAAACCCACGCTGGGTACGCTATTTGATGGCGTTGATGATAATGATTGGACAATTTTATAGAACCTGTTGAATTTATTGTATTCTCTACACCAGTTAGGGAATCTTCATTAATATTAATTGTTTTATCTTTTTATAGTTACTTAATACATTTTTAAGATACTTCAATATTTATAATAAATGTTAGAATAAGAGCTAATCTACCTGCGTCGTAATATATTTTTTATCTTAACTATGTATAGGTTCGGATCCTTTGATTTGTATTGTATTTTCTTACATTGTAATTAATAGCCCAACATATCTAATGTTGTGGCTTCAAATTATAATAAATTTATGAATTTTAAGTATATTATTTACATATATATTTCTAATTAAATATTCAACATATTTCTGATTCCGGCAAAAAAAATATTTTGCAAAGCATACTCAACTTTGATAAACTTTCAGTTTTTTCATATTATTCGAGAAATAAAACAGCTCAGTTGCTAGTTGATTATGTAAGTTTGTTTATAAAATTATGTAGATTTCAAATATAAACATTGATAATTAATTATTTATGTACAATTACAAAGAAGCTAAAAACTAATTAAAATTCTTTCTTAAGATGGTATCTGTAAATTCTAAAAGAACTTAAGCTGTTTGATTCTTCTGATAGTTGCCTTTACATTAACTGAAAGTATTTAATTTTAAATAAATTTGCTTAATTTTATCTTTAAATATTGGATATACACATCAGTATAGTGAAAATATTCTATTTTTATTTAAAAATTATAAAAAAAAATTGTAAAAAATTGTAAGTGGCTTTAATATATGCAAAACAGCGGTTATTGACTGTTTTTCAAAATGAATTTGTCAATTAATTAATGATAAATACTGGAATTCATTTACCGAGCGATAAATGATTTTTTTGTTTTATTTTATTTTTATTATTTTTTTTTTATTTTGAATAGAGTACTAAATCATAATATTATAAAGTTTGAAACTTGTGCCATTTATTTAAATTAAATCTATTAACCGGATGTATGAGCACAAGTTTGCAAAAAAGTTGCCGAAATGTCTATATGTATACATTGCAGAAATAAAAGAAATATTAAGAAGTCTGCAAACTATTGACAAATTAAGTCGATGAATTTATAATAAAAATAAAAGTACCTTAAACTTGTCCTGATACCAGTTTGCCAAACCTATCGTTTTGCAAAAATTCTAACCACAATCTGAAAAATTAAGACTTTGTAACTAAGCCACTAATCGAGTTTGTATAGTCCAAACTATAGAACAAATCCGGTCCCAGAACAGAAACTTCTTTCTAATTCAAAATTTTGTCAAATTATGCAATTTTATAAAATTTTTTTCGTTTGCAAAATTTATGCAAATTTGACAAGTTTTTTTTTTAATTTTTGACATTGAAACATCATAAAATAGAAGAAACTTAAGTAGGATTCAAGATTAAAAACGTGGCACGTTCCAGAAAATTAATAAATTAAAAAATCAATTAAAAATTAATTGTTATAAATTAATACACCGCACTCATCAAAAAAATAAAAAAAAATCAATGAGGAATTAATTTGAAATTAATGAGAAATGAAACAAAAAACAAACAAAAAATTTTATATTTGCTGCAAATCATTTATTTGTGTTTTTCATCATACAACAAATATACAAAAGTATCAAAATAAATTTGTTTTAGTTTAAATTGTTTGCTAATTAATTATTAAAAAATTATTATAAAATTATTTGCACTCATAATTAATCATGCATAATTGTCTTCTGTATAACAAATATACGTACACATACAAACGAATGCTATCACACTTGTCAATCTAATGAAACTCCTTATTTAATTATTTAATTATATTAATTACATGTAATTTTGGTATTATTGGCTTTTGGAGTTCTGGTTTTTACTTATTTTACACATTCACACTCATAAACAAATTATTTACACACAACATTCACGACCCAAACATGCAAGAATTTCACAATACTTTATATGTGTGATCTTAGGCCCTTAATACTATAACCCCAAACATTACCTACTGAAATATAACTATATAGTTTAGTTAAATGAAAGCAAATAAAGAAATCACTATAAATTAGGCACATTTCTGTCCCACCCATATCCAGTGTATTATTCGGCCTTCATAGCTTTCACATTATTGTTGTTCACATCGATCAAGCGCTTCATTTGATCGCCTTGGGCGAGGAATGCGTTTGTTGGTTGACAGCCCATACCGCCAGCAGCGCGTAATGCAGCGCTAGCCATACTGTTTCCTTTCTTTGAATTGTATGTCTTTCTGTAGAAGTTACCGAAGAGATACAGGAAAATGATGGTGTTGGCAACAAAGAAGAATGTTAATGTTTTTGGCATGTTGCATCCTTTAGCGCCGACCAAAATCATATAACTGAGAATCAAAACGAATTGTATCAATTGAATGGATGTCATGTATTTCTTCCACCAGAGATATTTCTGATATTGTGGACCCATAGCAGACACCATATAATAGAAATACATTATAATGTGTACGCCTGAGTTGAGTATGCCAATAATCACACCTTGTTCACCTGTTATATATAGCAAGTATTATTATATATTCAATACATATATTATAAAGTTCCATTTATTCAATGTTACTTACCAGGAGCGTATTTTAGATATCCCCAAGAGAAGAGTGCAGTTATGGTATGATGATAGACATGTAAAAATGATACTTGATTTTGTTTCTTACGTAGCACAAAGAATGTGGTGTCCAGCAAATCAATGATCTTGGAGAAGAAATAGTACCAGGCACCAGAGTACAACATTAAATTTTGCTCACGATTACGTACGATTTCACATTTTTTGGAAAAAATAGAAGACATCACGTTGCTTTCTTTGATTGACTGGTCATTTTTACATTAACATAAAAGAGTCATAGAAAAATAAATAAGATACACATAAAATATATTACAGATATTGACGTCACTTATGTCAAATTTATAAAATACTCACGGTACGACACATCCAAATCGAGTAGCAAACTTGAAAAGCATTATAGATCACCATAATTTTCTTCAAATCATATGGCTTACGATTCTTCATAAAAGCAGGTCCTATTTTTAACACAAAAAGCAAATAAACTGCAACAATTGAAACCACAGGCGCTGGAGAGCTCATAAGAAACCAATTATCGACTGTTTCATCTAAAGTTGGGAAAAATGTTTATTAATGATTATTAATAATGTATATATTCTAATGATTTATTAATAATAACTTACCAACGCCTTTAGATAAGCCAGAAATTCTTTCGTTGAATATTTTTATATAGGTCGTCATTTTGTCCAAATTTTATTCTGTGAACAAAATTGAAGAAAAAAACGAAAAAACTCTTGAATATTTTTTTATATATTTAATGAATAATTTTGAAATTCTATTTTAAATATATCTCGTGCAATGAACGTTCGTTATCGTAAGTGTCTAAATTCAAACTGAATTCCAATATGTGTTCATTAACTTAGAATTGTTGAATGAAAAACTCCAAAAGCTCCAAAGGCATTCAGTATTTAGAATACCGCTCACGTAACGCAGCCAGCAAGTAAAAAAATTTGTAGATTTAGTTTTGCTGCTAGCCGAGACGCCGAGCCGTGAAATATTATTGTGCACTTAGAATTGTGCTTAGAATAAAATTTTGATACTTTAGATACTTTAGATTTTTAACTTAACACGGTTTTATTCTTACTCATATTTTAATGACAGTGAAATTTACAAGAAGCTAAAAGGTTGCGGTTTAAAAATTATTATTGAACAGTTTAACTGATATTTTTTGCAATTATGAGTATTCATGTATGTTTATTTTATAAACATATTCTATAACTGAGATTTTTTTGTATTAAAATTCCAGGCAGTTAATTTATTGAGCGTGCATATTTTAAAAAATATATTTTATTACCAACACTAATGTTATCTGTATATCCAAAAGTGTTAAACCATGACATCGACTTTTATATAATATAATTAATAAACGTGATTCCATGTCGAACTCCCCATGACGAACATAAAGAATTATTTCAAATACTCATACTTAAATACTCAATATATTCTATTTTAATCAAAAGTTTTAAATTGCACTTTTCATTAAAATAACATAAAGTTTTATGCATTTATGTCAATTTTAAAATCACAAATGTACATTAAAAACACATAATATTTTTACAAACCTAAGTTTAATGTATCTATATAAATACTTTTTATTTATATGTATATAGGTCTGTAAATATATATATCTATATATATACGCAAACATATTGTTCATATTTAGTATAGTACGTCTGTGTCGAAATTTGTTCGACGCTATGGAAAAGTATATACTTCTTGTACATTCTTTAAATATTTTTAACGTAAGAACTGCCATTAGAGGTCGTACGAATGATGTTATTTTATTTTATTTTATTTATTTATATGACATTCAAAAAGACTGAAATGTAAGTGCAATGATTAAGTTTATGTAGAGATGTTTATAGCATAATTATGGTCGGTTTACCAAAGAGGTTTTTTTTAAACCGATTCTATCTATAAGAACTAACCATAAGATTAGACAGATTCATGAAATCTTCTTGTGGATAATAATAGAAAAAATGTCATAGTTATTAAAGATTGAAAAACACCTCTTGGAATGTGTTCCCGAAATATATGCTTATTATATATCTGACTACAAGAAAGCAATAGATAAGACTGCGTATATTAATGCTTATATAAATTGAAAGCTCCCAATTTGAGTTAGATCTAAAACATATAAGTTGACATACTAAACATAATAAAGAAGAGGTATATACTTTCTTTAGATGTAGCTAAAATTTTACCACAGATTACGCCCTTATTAGGGAATCAGCATATGATTATTTAATCATGGTTGATTATCATGAATTTCGATCAATTGCAGTGCCTATACTCATATCAATACAATTAATAAAATAAGTTTTGTCAATAACTAATTGGCTGATAGTTTATGTTTTAAAAAACTATGTACTATAAAGTAAGCGCTTAGTAAAAAACTTATACCTACTGACTTATTGGCATATACTACATCGTATTGCATTCATGTTTTTCTTTTGTCTATTAGACCATAAGGTTATGAAATAGATTTTTTTGTTTAATAATTTTATATATTGTAAGGTGTTAAAATTCTTTCTTATTTCTTATTTATTAACCTTATTAAAAATTAGATTCATAAGTTTTTACTCTGTTTTAAATATGAATAAAAATACTAATATACTATGAATAAATACTAAAAAAAGGGTAATTAATTTACCAGTAGATTATATAATCATATATAAATCGTACCACATTTTATAACCAGCAAGTCAGTAAATAAATAAAAATAAATATATAAACAGTAGTTTAACTTCATTAGAATAATGTATATATAAGGTTGTTTTTCGTTCGTACTAATTTGTCATTATTTTGCTCACATCATTGTTTGAACACTATTCATAATAATTTCTTCTTTTCTTTATAAAAAAATATAATGTGTACATTTAATTTGAGTTGAAAGCTATTTAAGTTAATAAGCACAAGAGAATAAAAAGCCACAATGCAAATGGAACAACTATAAAAAAAAACAATAAATTTGCAACAACAACGATGTCATATTTTGTTCTATAAGAGTTTGTTTGTACATAAAAAATTTATTTAAGTAGATAATGAGAACTATATGTTTTAACTATCCATTTCAAGTGAATTATAGATAATTGTAACTCCCAATCCATCACTATTTCTGTACAGTGCATATCAACTGTAAAGTTAGTCTACTCTTCAATTTCCTATTTAATAACTTCAGTCCATGATCATAACGATTTTTTTATATATTTTTACATATCTATGTAATTTTATAAAATCTGACTACAATATAATAACGCTACACCTACCCAAAAACATATTAAATTAAATTTAGATATAATTATTAACATAAAAATATAAGCACAGGATCTAAGGGCGAAGGATCTAGTAGTCCAGTTTGTTATTCTTAGTTAACTTTAAAATCAAATATAGTGTTAATTGACAAATAAATAAATAAATAAATCTTATAAAATATTATTAAATTAATAATTATAATTTTTATTAATTATAAAAATCATATTTTGAAAAAAAAAGTTAAATATTCCATAAAAACTATAATATTTGTTCAAGCTTATTTGATAATTTCATACATGAATATTTTAATTTTAAATAGCATTTTTGTTTAGTATTATATTTTTTATATAGTCTTTTATATTTTTGTGAGCTGATTTGTTTAAGATTACCTAATTTCCTACAAAATAGAAATAATGATGTTCTAAGACAATTACAAGCAATACATATAATGAAATAATGAAAAACAAAGCTTAGAACTGAAATGCACAGACAAAAAATGCTAAATAAAAATAATTTAGCACACTATAGAAATATATTTTGTTGGAGATAATTTTTAAGCCATAAAAATTATTCTAAATACACTTTTTAATGTTTTTCATTATTTTTGCTTGCATGCAGGCCTTGTGGCAATTTGTTCTACTACCGTGGAAAATTTCCGCTTCATCTATGTTTTAATTACGCTTAACTCATGAGATGAACTAACACCTATTGTACTTTACTGGAAATGCAGTAAAAATGTCAACTTAAATAAAAATCTCAAATTAATGCTAATAATTATTGTTATTAGTACAGAGAATTGCGATTCTACATAAGATAGATAATACACCGAAACAGCCTGCAAAGTGCGCAACTCTGATGACGCTTCTCATAAGTGATGGCTTGAAAAGATTATCTGATACCTGAGTTCAATGACAAATTTTGGTTTTCTGTTTAGAGTTTAGATTTTAATAAAACACATTATTTCTATAGAAGCATATTTTCCAACATATTGTTTAAGAATAAACGATAATTGTTAAATTAATTTTATGTCTATGACTATACACAACACATACCATAGACATACATATATACCATAACGTAACTATATATGTAAAGAACCTTTTTCAGAATTTTAACGTGAGATGCCAAAATGTTTATATACAAGCACCAGAGCAGCAGTCAAGCTCAATGCGATACAGTATACAGCAGCCAAATTAGTTGGCTATGGAAGTCAAGGTGTTCATCTCTCAGTTGCAGTTTTGTTTTTTTTTGTTTTTCTTTATTCTGCTTTAAAATTTTTCTTTTTAACCGGTGCTTTCGATGTGTACACATACTACATACAAAATCTATTTGTATTTTATTATATGGTATATGACGTGAATTATATTTACGTTAGCCGCTGGACTCAGTAAAGTAGCATTTATTTTGTTTCAAGGTTTGGGTTAAGTTTTATATTAACGATTAATGATTTTCACATTAAGAATAAGTTAAAGACTTTGCCATTCGTTTTTCTTATTCTTTATATTCTTTTCATTTATTTTTATTTTTTATATTTGTTGCCTTAGATTATTTAAGTATAGAACAATTTTCAAAAATTTCCAGTTAAACAACTTTAAAGATATATAATAAAATTTAATATAGAGTTTATTTTTGTTATTTTTGTATTTATTTACATAAATCAATATACACGCGTACGTAGAGTATATATTAGGAAGAATATAGGTTAAATCAAATCTATTATTAATTATTTACACATATAGTAATTTTTTAATGTATGCTGAGTTCGATTATTTTAAATATTATTCATGTATATATAAAATACGCCTGAAATTTACATAAATATTCGACCTAAATTCAATTGTGATAGTTGAACTTTACGGAACTTAAATTACTAATAAAAATCAAATGTTCTAAGGTCATTGAATTATTTAATAGCACAATAGTCGATATTTATAATTCATTACAAGAGTTCAAATTAAAAATCATTAAGTCTGAGTTCAATGTAAATCAGAACAGCATAACTATTTTCAGATCTATAGAAAAAATATCTTCTATGTTAAATGCATTCTTTAGGCTATTAACTATATAGCTATATATTAACTATATATGTTTATACATTTATATACTAGTATACACATGTAGATATGGCGCCAGTATATAAATAGTATTTATATACTATAAACTTAGTATATGCTGACATCAATGTAAAATTTTTTTTTAATTTACATATTTAAATCTATTGCACTCATTAATTCGTATTAGCTAATTTTTAAAAAAATGTGCTAATTTCATTATATATTAAATAATTTATTTCATTACAATTAAACATGTTAATATCTTATTGTAATATTATATCTGAGTAGTAAATAAAATATTTTCGAACTTTTATTTCAAATTTTAAATTAATTTTTAAATGGATGCAAACACTTAAGTTTTTAATTTAAATAAAACTATTTTGAAATAA